GTTTCTCCCATTTCCGGTACACCCACTTCTCATTTCTTTGGAACATCTGATTCTGATTATACCGATCTATTCGTTTTTTATACCGTCTTATCCTATTTGCCCATGCATAAATTTTCTGCTTTAGATAGTCTATGCGCTCTGTGACACACGACATGTACTGCTGAGGACTAATGGTAGTCCCCAAGAATGCCTGTTTCACAAAGCGCATCACTCTCGGCAGCGTATTCCCTGATCGATAGCTAATAAGCTTACCGATGAGTGTCCTGGTCTCAGCAATACGACGTTCAATTCTATACTGCCAAGCTGGTACAGTAGATTTAGGTCGAGTAGTAGTGACATTGTCAGCTATTTTAACACCAGCTACTCGACAAACTGCAATAGCCGCACAGTATAGAATAGAATGTGTATCACTAAGATCTTCGCTATTATCTAAATATTCAGGCAATAACGAATCCAAGGCACCCACCAGCGCTAAATTTCGTTTATGAATGGGCAAACGGAATAACCGGGGCCTATCATTGCAATTTAAATATCGGTATTCCAGAATTGCATCCTCCAAAGCGCTCCTTATCCTATCATTGTATTGGGTACTTACGGATATAACTTCACTCTCCACTAGTTCATCAATATCATCAGTATATGATGCCAACTGAGGTTTGCTGTTGGCTACCGAATCCACAGTGTGTGACGAAGAAGGTATAATTAAGCTATTCCGTATGTCAGAGCGTATCCTCTCAAGTACTGCATCATCCTGCAGATGACAGTGCTGTATAGCTCGTACTTGATCCGACAATCGTTGTGCTGATACGTTGACAGCTGGTTCAAGCTCCTGAAACAAAGAGACTAGTCGAACACGGTACGCAGTAACGTTCGGTTCGTTCCCACCTCTGTAGCCCGATAATATGACCGCATGACATTTTCATTCATAGACTTTGTCACTTCATGCGGCGCATCCCCACCGGTAGCGGGGACCCTGTTCGAGGTCAGTAGGCCTCTCCCCTGCCGACGTACAGGTGTTGGCGACGTCGGCGGAGAGAAAAACTCGTCGCTTGAAGTCGAGCTCGACGTCTCAGCCACGGCCGGAACTTCTGTTGTAGCTTCCGGGAAAGTATTGCTAAGCTGGCAGTCGGGCCTGCTTAATACTGTTACTTAAGTAGTTTTAATCATTTTATGTCACTATAACTTTAATTGTCCATGTCATGATTAAATTAAAATCAGAAAAATCCTAATTTTTACTATTGTGTACAAAAATAAAAACACAAACAGTGTTCACAAAATTTACCTCCTCCTTTCACAAAAAGAGTTAAATGTAAATATTGTGTGAGAATATTTACATTTAACTCTAAATATTCCTGAACAATATAACAATTAAATTCAAAGATACAATTAAATTATTCTTCTTAATAATGTCCCAACTAAATTTCATTGATTATAACGTCAAGTGTCACCTCAGGAGCCGAAAGTAGAAACAAGAGTCAATCTTGAAAGCACAATCCTAAGGAATATTTAGGAGGTCGTGATGAGGCGTGAATATTCATGTGGCCGCACTCCTGGATACTTGAGTGTCAACGAGTTCTCTTTCAACAATTTTGCATCACTTAAATTATTTATAAGAAAACGGTACGCGTAAGCATCGCCGTTTTTCCCCTATAACTTGGTTACCTATTATATAAAAAAGTCTGTCATTTCTAAAATATCAAGGGCCAGTACGAAATAGTCCTTTACAAAAAAATACTACAAATCACATTGACAATTTATCGTTTCTATAATGAACTCTACAATTTTTTCTCAATCGTCATGTTCTTCAATTTTTCCCAATTTATTTGAGGTCGTTGCAATGAATTTTCTTCTTCCATTCTCCTTTATCATTAATTACTTCACTGCATCATCATCATCATCATCAACGGCCTTTAATAGTCCACTGCTGGACATAGCTGCCTCTCCTTAGAAAGGAGGTTTTGGCCAACTATAGCACGCTGGCTGACGGGTTGGTATAGGATTTCCGGTCAATGGCACTATACGGTGCACCGGTGTGGGCGGCGGCTCTGACCGCCCAGAATAGGGCACGCCTCTGGCGCCCTCAGAGGGTAATGGTGGTCAGAGCCATACGCGGTTACCGCACCGTGTCGACGGAGGTGGCGTGCGCGTTGGCCGGCACTCCCCCGTGGGATTTGGAGGCGGAAGTGCTCGCCGAAGTCTATCGGCGAGTGGCTGACTCCCGGGCGGAGAGCGGATTTCGCCCTCCGCCCGAGGATGTGCGCGAGTGGCGCGAAGCCGCTCGCCGAGCCACGATGGCTCGTTGGTCGTTCCGGCTGGAGACTCCACGCGCTGGCTTGGCCGCCGTGGAGGCTCTCCAGCCGGTCATCGCCGAGTGGGCAGGGCGGCAGCACGGGACCCTTACCTTCCGGCTGACGCAGGTGCTTTCCGGGCACGGTTGCTTCGGAAAGTACCTGCACTCGGTCGCTAGGAGGGAACTGAGTCCCGCCTGCCACCACTGCGACTGCAGTGAGGACTCGGCCCAGCACACGCTGGCGGTCTGCCCCGCATGGGCGACGCAGCGCCGCGCCCTCACTGCAGTCATCGGAGTGGATCTCTCGCTACCGGCCGTAGTACGCTCCATGGCCGGTAGCGACAGTTATTTTACCGCGGTCGCAACATTCTGCGAGGAAGTAATCTCGCAGAAGGAGGCGGCGGAGAAGGCCGGGAGGACGATCTCCACTCGGACCCGATCCGCCGCCGGCGAACAGGGCGGCGGAGGCGCGCCTATCACCGCCTCATGCCGCCCTGAGTGTGGCCGCGGGTGGACGGGGTGGGTTTCCCCTCCACCCGCATTAGTTTGGCCAGCCGCGAGGGGGCGGCGTCCGCGTGTGCCGGACGTCGCCTACAGAGAGGAACAATTTTGAGACGGGGCCCGCAACTGTAGCGGGCCGGCGCTAGGAGCTGTTCCCGGATCCCTCCTGTTACAGGCGCAGAGTGGCACACCGTGTGGTTTTAGTCGGCCCGAGTCCGACACACCACCCCGCCGCAAACCCCGGTGGGGTGACGGTCCGAGGGGATTTCCACACGTTAAAAAAAAAAAAAAAAATTTTGATTTGGATTTTTGACAAGTTTTCCTTCTCTTTGCAGTGCCTTTTCCTGAGTAGTTTGCTCCCTTAGTCGACTCTTACGACACCCACGGGATAAATAGGGGTGGCGACACTCCATATTCTTAATCCGTCACCACACGGACAGTTTCACTGCGTAATCTCAGATTTTTCTCAATATTTTCATCATATGAGGCGATACAATTAATTCGACAAAATACTTCAAATTTAGATATTAAAACTGTAGTAACTACAAATCCTACACTTACAAATTTCCAATTTTTCTTTTGAAGTTGTTCTTTTACCTCTAATGTTATTTTCGTGAAAGAAAACGGTATTTAGAGATTTTTATTAATCATTAGAAAGTTATATGAAAATGTTAGCGTGTAAAGAAAAATCCATTTCTGTGGGACTTAACTTTTGAATCCAATTTGATAAAAATTATAATCAATATTATGAGCATACTTTGAAATCAGAAGTAACCAATCTCAATGTCTTTGGCATTGCCACTTTATGATGTGGTTAACTATTTTAATAAAGGACCCTAAAACTGACCATATCGCTTAAACGTCAACGTTTGATATGTCATAGCACATTTGGGCATATCTTTAACGTAGAGTATCAAGAATATAATAGATTTTATAAAATTTCTAAATAAACAAGGAACTTATATTTTGCTCTCTTTTGCTGTCGAGTAGGATATTTCATTGCCTTTTTTTTATTTATTTTCACACTATTATTTTGCTTTTAAAACAGAATAATTGTCTACTGTTACATAAACAAAATAAAAGAAGCTCCTCTAACAGTGGATATTGTAATTATTTCACATGATCGCTGATGATTGATCACGTCACGAACTAGTCGTACTTTTGACTCTTAATATCTTTAATTAAACGCTGATTATTCGTTGATCTAGCCTGAACGGATCATGATGAGACAATGCAATACAAAATTATAATTGATCGTTCGTTTATTTTTCACCTGTTACAGTTGGAATGACTTCGAAATATTCTGAAGTCCAAGTCGAACGGTGCTAAGCATTCAGCTTACACAATGAAGTGGTATGGAGGGCGGCGGGGCGCGTCGCGTATCATCGGCCGCGGCGGACGCAAGCCACGCGCACTGTGCAAGCGGAATGGATAGCGGGTATTTGCTATTTTTGTTTCCATGTGTTATTTCAAAAATGAACCTACACCATAGCCGGCCCGCTCTAACTTAAGAATGAAAAATTTATAACGAGACCACTGTAATAAAGTTCTAACACAAAACATTTATCCATATCAGTTTTGTTTTATTCGTAAGATCACGACCATGACCATTTTAAAAATGCTTTCCATAAGTTGCTTTAAAGACAAAGACATGGTGAAAAAAATGTATAGTTATTGGATAAAAGCCCCTCAACTTTTTAAAATTTAATCGAGTTTTTTTTGTTGTAATGGGTACAATTATTATGTTTTGTGAATAACTTGTGATCACGACCGATTACAACATTATTATAAAAACTTAACACATAGGGAATTGTTCTATTTCACGTTATACGTCGCTAGTTAGCAGTGGTGGTGTCGTTACCAAAAAAAATTGTAAACGACACCCTAGTGGTGTGGTTCAGTGGTGTCGTTTACAATACACGGTTCGTAAGTTCTTGTACTTAAAATATTAAATAAAAGTAAAGAAAAGTACTCTTAACTGCACTTAATCAAAATCGCTAACAGCGCGTCTTTACCCCACGTTCACCATGACTCCGAGCGAAAGCCTTCACGCTCACATCCGCACGCTCCCCGCGCCCTCCGCCCGTCCTCTCAACCGCAGAAGTGCTGCCTATGGTCGTCGAGTCAACCGGAGGCCGTCGCGCTGCTGACATCGCAGCTCCGTCTTATGTTTTTATTCCAACTGTAAATTAAACAAGTGTCTTCAATCATGGATGTTGAGGAATTCCGTGTCCGCGGGAAGGAAATGGTAGATTACATCTGCACGTATATGACAACCCTGAAAGCGCGAAGGGTGATTCCCTCCGTAGAACCGGGCTACCTTCGAGCAGCTCTACCAGCCGAGGCTCCATATCTCCCAGAAGCATGGGACGACGTGATGAATGATGTGGAGAACAAAATCATGCCAGGAGTAACACACTGGCAACACCCACGCTTCCATGCTTACTTCCCGTCCGGTAACGGCTACCCATCCATCCTCGGTGACATGCTGTCTGCTGGAATTGGATGCATCGGCTTTTCTTGGGTAAATATATGATATTGTAATACTATACCAATGTCCTTTAATTTGGGCCCTGAAAGAATTAATACGAAGTAGATATAAGTTTTCTCATTAAGCTATCTTGCATATAAGTTTATATAGAAATTCTTTACGCAAATTAAGTTCTAAACTTTTTACTTACGTGGTTTAAAAAGTTCTCAGATTTTGGTCGATATTTCGATTGACTGGATGATGGATAGACTGTTAATTATACGAAATTAACGATTAAGTATTAAATTGATCACGACTCATTAGCGATAAAATGAAAACAGTACTTTTTACTTAGAATTAAAAGCCTCATAATATCTCATAGAATTTATCTTAATACTAAGAAATATCACCACAAAAAATATATAAAAGTAAACAAAAGACTGCGGTAGTTAAAGTAAGCTGAAATGCAATTTCAATAAATAAGTAAAACATTAAATGTTGCGCGACAATGCATAGACCGTAAATATATCGCATCGGTCTAGCACACCGATTGCAGCAGTATTGATTGTTTTGTAATTGGTCTTTTAAATAACTTACGCTGTTGCTAGCCCTTTTTAATACCTTAAAACATGTATTTATCATTTGTATTATAGGACTTAAAACTCAAAAGTATTTTTAGCCGTTAAATATTCTAGATAAACTACCAAGTGTACATACTGTTTTATTTATAACTTTACAGACAACAAAATGTTATGTTCTAGTCTTTTAACTCTCGAGTCGTGTACTACTAAATATATAAGTATATTTTGTAAAGTTAAGCATTCTTAACTTTTTGTAGGGATGGATTAAAAATACATTACCACCCATATTCATCCCATGGGTGTCGTAAGAGCCGACTGAGGGAGCAAATTACGCAGGACAATAGCTCTGCAAGGAGAAGGAAAACTTGAAACAAACCCTATACCAACACGCCCTGCCAGCGTGGTATAGTAGTTCAAAACCTCCTTTCTAAGGAGAGGCCTATGTCCAGCAGTTTAAGTCTTTCGGCTGAGAAGAAGAAGAAGAAATTTAAACATAAAAAAGTAATCCTTTTAAATAAATGTTGAACCGACTTCAAATAATACTAACAAATAGCACTAAAACTTAAAAAATAATTACAAATCTAATTGAAAAAACCAAGATAAGTGCCACCCTCGATATAACAGGTAACATTATGATAGCAATAACTTCTAGTCTGTTTGAAGTCGGTGCCAAGCCAAATAAGTATTAAGTGGCGCCACGGCTGTGTTGTGTTGCGCTGAACATGCTAAACAAGCCAAAGTGGGTTACGCACATCTCAAATGATATTTTTATGTTGAATGCATTATTAGGTTGAATGCAGTAATTGGTCAGGTTGGACTTTATTAATTAACAAAATCTGCGATGTTTCATTAGAATTATATTGAATCCTTAATTCTTTACTGAGCTGATTTAAAGCTGTCATAGACCCTCAGCATTACTTATTGTGCATCGTCCTTGGCACCGACGTCAAACAGACTAGAAGGTACCTTTTGCTGTCATAATTTTACCTGTTATATTAAGGGTGGCACCTATTTTGGTTTTTCAATTAGATATTTTGTACTTATTTTTTTATTTTTAGCGATATTTATTAGTATAGTTTGAAGTCAGTTCATTTTATTTAAAAGGATTTATTTTACCATTTTTAGTGTAAAATACGTTTGTAAGGAGTTGATATGATATTAATAACACTAGGTACTGTAATGTTTATATTACCAAACAGATTATATTAAATTTAGTTTTATAAGTCCGTTACTTTATTCATATAAGGTAATAAGATGTTAAATTTGAACCCAAAATATATTGTTTTACACATTACTTAATTCTGCACCATTAGGAGTGGCATTTTTTTTCTATTAAACCATTGATTTTTGCTTCACAAGATACATAAACATATATACAAGGCACATTACAAAAATACGACATTAATATTAAGTATAAAACATTTGGGCAGAACACAGCACTGGTTTTTAGCTGGCCCCTGACATTTATGCTAACAGTTAGAAATTAAGAAACGCACACAGACATATCGCAACACAATGAACATAAAGTCTAAGTAAGTACATTAAAAATGAAAGAGTTCTGAAGTAACAAACATGAAACTAATTGCGTGACAAACTTTTTTTTGTCCAAGTGTTTTGTAATCTCATTTATTACTTTCTTGTGCACATATCTCTGTAACCCAACACAAACACCTAACACATATCATGAAAGAATAAAACAAGGTCAATACATGATTATATTATTGAAAGTGTTATCACCTAACTCCTAAAGGTCAAGAACCCTTCCATCATTAGCACAGCAACATGAGATAACGATTACCAAACGCAAATACCTGTATTGCTAGAGAAAAATCTAAAAGATGTTGTCGGGCTGTAAAATTTGAGGTTTTCGATCGATTTCTCTGGGATGTTCAGATCTTAATTTGGTGGTAATGGGACCACCTCGAGAGTATACTCTTAGGATTACCAAAATAATTTTTAAATCGGTTCACAATTGACGGAGATATATAACAAACATCCAAAAAAAATACATGCAGACGAATTGAGAACCTGATCTTTTGTGTTTTTTAAGTCGGTTTAAAAATAATACAGGATTATTTTAACGATATCTTTTATCTTTTTCAACGGTAATGAATATTAGCACTGTCTTATTTATATTGTATTTCGGACTTAGAAGTTCCATTGTTACGAAATGGAAGCTAAAAAAATTACTTTAAAAAGTATCACGAACTTCAAAGTGCCTACACCATGATGTCCTGTTGTAAACTGCATTCTTCTTCCTAAAATTTTCACCCGTAACTGTGGTTTTTTTCCCGAATAAAAATGATAATAAAAATGAAAATGACAGAGTTAGTTAGGTGCTCGTAACATACATAAAAAATACGATCGAATAGAGAACTTCAATCTTGAAGTCGGTTAACAAATACGGTCAAAGTTTACTACAACTTAACTCTTAGCAAAGCTGTGGTTGTGCTTGTGGTTAAAAACAAAAACTCGTTTTCTCTTACAGGCTGCAAGTCCTGCTTGTACAGAACTGGAAATTATCATGCTGGATTGGATGGGTAAGTTGTTTAAACATCGAATCATATTCATCAAGCGTTATTATGTTATTTACCATATTTTTATAGCTTTTGTTTCTTGATAAGAGACGCACATAAATGAGTACTTATCGATGTAAAATACAGATTGTAATTAAAGCAGCTAGTCTAGTTTACACGACTGCGACACTCGCAGTTTTCATTCAATGCATATTTAATTACTTAACTACATAGGCACAATATAACACTACGTTGCCTATTTTGGATGTTTTTAAATTCAGAACCAGAAAGTACTTTCTTCTATAAAATCTAGGTTACCCAAAGTTTATGACTTTCAATTATTTTGTTATGAAAAGCCTTATTAAGCCATCCTTACACTACTTTTGGATAAACACACCATTTTCTTAAAAAAAATTATACGACCTCGATTTACATTCGTATCTACATACAGTACGTCTACAGTACGTCTACGCACGTCTCTTTATTAGATCATAATCATACCGTTAGAATCCTTACAACATGCCTGCTATTGCTAGCATCAATTTTTTATTATATATAAACCCCATAGAATTGAAAAAAATAAACTGTTTATAGAACTAAAAATCAATCAAAGTAGATAGCACAGATAGTAACGAAAGTATTACTGATTGATGAAATCTTACAAGCTTGACCGAGGCTACAAAAAATATATTTCATCATTATTATGCTTAAAGTGTCATAAAAAACTAATCAAAAAATTGATTCCTTTTTTGTTGTGCTTCTAATAAGGCCTTCCAATTGGCAACTGACAGAAGAAGCCTCCAGAAATTCAGTCATGCCTTTTTAATTTTATTTTATATTGTTACAATCAAGTCGAGACACAAAATTTGTTAACGAAACGATTTTACTTTTATAAATAAAACAAACAAACGTAGCAAATATTTATTTCAATCTTTTCTTATAACACCTTTTATTTAAACTACCGAATTCTATAATATCTATGTATATGATTATTCATAAAAAAAGGAACAATAGTACCAACAACAACCAAAACCAACTAAAAATTAAACTTTTTCAATCTTGTCAAACACTTTATTATTACTCGTATTACCATGTGTTTACACATCCATAAAACGGCAAACTTGGGACCCACTATCAAATTTTAAAGACAAGCTTTTGCCCGGGGCTAGGCCTGCGTGAATGTCTGTTGTCACGGTAAAAAGCAGCCTATAGTATGTTACTCGCTGATAAATTAGCTTTCCCTTGGTGAAAGAATTTTAAAATCAGTTTAGCCGTTTAGGCGTGAAAGCGTAACAAATAACATTCACATTTAGAATGTCAGTATAAAAACTGCCAGTCATTGTAACACAATGTTTAAATACCTACTGCACTATTAAGCTGTTTGGAATATGGAATATGGTTTTTTTTTTTGGTGACGGGATGGAAAATCCCTACTGATCTCCGGCTCCTTAGGGATACAGGAGCCAGGAGTATGTGGTGTTTGAACCACCCCAACGGCCGGCCTTACACGTTTGGTATCTAATATTGCAGAACTTGATACGAGGATGTTGGTTTACGGTCCGAGTGAAAAGCGGATTGTTTGTCATTATTATTCTTAAGAAAGCACTAAGACATCGAACAATCTTGCATTTATTACTGATAAGTCATAAGTCATGAAGATAAAAACTCCTTGCCTAAGTAACGACTCCGATAATATTCCTTGCCTACATATTAGTCACGTGCTACGAATTTCGTAGAAGCCAGCGACAGCTACGTTTTAGCTGATTCTCAGATGATATTTAGAGTTAAATTTTGAATTTTATGGTTCCACCGTCCTAACAAGCAACCCTTAAAATTTCGCCTAGATTACCCGCTACTCCACATGCATTTGTCCAGTTTATGTAATTGTAGATTGAACTATATTTTTTGATTTATGATTGAAAATAAGAAGAGAATTATTGGTAGTATTTAGGACAGTGGGTTAGCTAGGCGTGAGCCTCGCACTTAAAGGGGCCTCGTTAGGCTCTTTAAGTGCAAGGCTGATCCTCGACTGATTTGCAGAGTGCTGCAATTCTTAATTTGCGTAGGCTACACTTACTATTCTGGAGCGACGGGCCGAGGGGATATCACCAGAGAAGACCAGGCTATTAAAACTGCTGTTGGCAAAGTGCCAAGTGGTCATAGCTCTGTTCAGTTAGACCCACCTCAGTCCAGTAGCCAAATTTAAAATAGGCTTTTTCCATGTCTACCGGGAGGACCAACGCTCGATAAGAGGGACTCCTTATAGAGGATTAGCAGTCCTGGTCAAGAGAAAAGTCGTCCACCTAGTTCTACCAGTACCAACTTTGCAGTCTGCGTATGCCTTGGGCGTAGAGGTCTGCATCGGAAGCCAGCCCACGGGTGGACTGGCTTTCGATCCAGGCTTTGTAAAACAGGCCACCAGTGGAGCGTCTCGAAGTGGCTGACATCTACATTCTGCTGGAGTCGCCACTGCCCATCATAATCGCCGAAGACTTCAATGCGAAACACACGACGTAAAACTTAACTCCACATGCTCGGAAGGCCGCCGCCTTCAAGATGATGCAGACCGGAACGAGTACTAGTTGCTAAGACCAGAGATGCTGACGCATGACCGTCATAGCGTTCACTCAGCCAACTTGATCACAAAACTTTTATTGATTTATTAATTCGTAAGTTTAAATGTACAGACGGACTTAATGCCAGGTCCGCTATTATAGCGGCGGTTAGACCCATTAGAGAGGATTGGCTCGAGAGGAAACACGAGACCGTGTCATACCGGCTGACACAGGTGATCACCGGGAAAGAATGCTTTGGGAACCACCTGGTCTGATCCGCAAGGAGCCAATTCTTGGGTACCACTTGCTGGCAGAATTCCCGGCGTGGTTGGAGCAGAGGCGTGACCTTGTGACGGCCATTGGAGTGGGTTCTATTACTCCGTACCTTGGCCGCAATTATGGTATGGAGCAAGAACGTGTGGAACTCCCTCGCCTCCTTCTACGAGCAAGATACGCTCGCAAAGGAGAAGGCGGCGGAGCAAGACCAGGAGAGGTTTAGAATTCTTCCGATCTGCCAGGCCCAGCATTCTGGAGGTCGCTCAACGACCTTCGTCCTCCATAAGCGTAGGTCTGCGGGTAGCGGGTGGAGCCACCTGTAACCCTACCAGAAGCTGGACGTGGTTGCCGTGCAAATTACTAATGAGCGTGCGCGCCTTTTAGAAGAAATCGGACATCCTGCTCCTCACACACGAGGGGGCCATCTATAGGCTGTAGATGGCTGGGGTCCGTCGGGGTACAAGGGATTTCCTTTCTGGCTTACACCTGGTTGTCCGGCTACCGGTACCCGAGACGGGGTGCGGTTTATAGTCGGTTCGATTCCGACATAACCATGCCATCGGTTGTTCGGTTGGGGGTATCCGAACGGTTTTCAGTACGTAAAAAAGGCGGATCATTACCATTGACATTCCTTTGTACTTTTCCTAACTTAAAACTTTTTGTGTTAAGCAAAACCATAGACAAGGAAAAAGTGTCCGCCGATAGGTATAAGCTTAATGTTCACTAGATGTCGCTAAGTGTATCAAAACGTGAATTTCAACGATTATCATACGTACCTGTCAGGTTCGTATCTAAGTGGGAGCTCAGATACGAACCGTTTACTCCTTACTACAGTACAAAGTATACCACTAGAGGTCATCCTTTCCCAATATTAACATTAGTGATTTTAAGTGTCATTTTTATTTTATCGTGGGAGAGCCATACTTCGGCACATATGGGCGAAGCTCGTCTGGAATGATACCACAACCTCACAGAAAACTGGTGTTAAGCAATTCTTACATTACTTTTCACCTTATTATTTTGTTACCGAGTGTACGTACTGCGATAATGGTCTTACGTACATTATGTCAGTTTGACGCGTACATCATTTTAAGATATAATTGATCGATATTTCTTAAGGCGGCTCTGCGCGGAGGACGACACGATAAGACAATAATTACTCCATTCAATCATTATCGCCAGTCATAAAAGTTATGATCCTTTTTAATTTCCAGGTATTTTCAAATCTGATTCACATAAAAGCAGATAAAATGTGTTAAAGATTTTAAATCGAATTTCTGTTTTTATTTTGGAATATTTAAATGCATTATTGAGAACATCCATAACAACTAATTTCAAATATTATGCAATGTCTTTCAAATTAGTTTTTATGTATTTTCTTATTACTTATCTCATTATTATTTAACCAGCTGACGCGTCAGCTATTCCAGTAGCGGTGGAGTTGACAGACTACCAAGTTATATTTGCACTAGCTTATTGTAAAAGTGATCGAATTAATTAATCATGTGTGGTAGTGGGGGGCACGCACTTAAAAAAGTGCGAGCCCCCTTTAAGTGCGAGGCCGTGGTCGATCGCCCACCCCTAGCATCGCCACTGCTTGACTCAAGCGAGTCGCCTATAAGAAAGTCTGTCTGTGAACATGAGATTTCTCGATGTTTGTTCTAAATCTCGCTTACATATTTTCTCACTATCTTGAGTAGGTATGTCTTGTCAAAGCATGTTTCCTACCAAACCATCCCATAGGCCTATCTTAACTATATCTATTATTGAATAGATCTTGGGAACGAAAAAAAGTGGCCTCACCGATGCGACCATTCCCACGTCTATATTAGTCCACGCTACGGCTCTGAATTTTAGGAGTATGGATAAAACCGGTATATCGGCCTACGAAGGAAATTACAAATTGAATTCGCAGGCAACGTCTCTGCCGAAACAAATCAGAAATTTGAAAACAAAAAATTAAATTGACACTATTGAACACAATTCATTATTAGGTGTATTTCTTAGCAGAAGAGATCGCCTAAAGCTCAAATTATTTTATTTTATTTACAAGTAAAACGTACCTTGATTTATTATTATACAGCTTTATGTAGCCGTTCCTACAACATCATAATTATATTGTTTAAAATTTTAAGCTTTCAACCCTTCTTAGTAATCCAAATTTCACATTCCTGTCCGTACAGGTTTCCTTAGAATGTGTTTAAAGAATTCTCTTCACTGTACTATACCTATAGAAATATTTATTTATTTATATATAATATGACACACAATACAACTATTTTTACAGGTTTTGTACCTAATACAATAGTGTAAAAACATGTATAGTAGTAAATAACACTTATTTCATTAACAATTTTAGCAACCTCATTCATCACTACAGCCGGACACACAGTCACACTCATATATTTCCAATCACACACATCACAGACAAACCACTCCCAGACACGGCACATACTGACCCGCCTATCACACAACCACTCGTCCCAGGCGGGAATCGAACCCTCGATCTCCGGCCCAGTAGGCCGACAGGCCTCACGTATTGTCTTCTCTATCATTGTTTACCAGATCAAATGCCTTTTTAAAATCAAAGTAAGCCGAATCAATCTGTCCCCCACTGTCTACTGTTGGCACAATATGAGCCATATGTTTAATTTATTTTTATTTTTATATTTTTATTCAAATTCCATTATAAAATAGCATAGGTACTTAGTACTGTGTAAGTGGTTACTTGTTTGTGCCTAGGTCTCGTGATAATATAATGTAGGTGTCTTCCCACAATTCCTGGAAGTAGACACGAATACAGTAAGAAAATTAAATAGCAGTAGCGCCAACGTAACATGACATACATTGTCAAAGATAACAAACTATCAGAAGTTATTTGTCTGTTTGTAGCTAATATATACCTACATGGAGACTATATAATGATAACCATCGGGTTAACGCGTAAAAGGTACATTATTATATAGTAACTTTTATATACCTATAATAATATGCTTAACTGGAGTTATGACAAATAACTTTACGGTACCAATATATAAATGCTATCTATTTACATAGATTATTAGTTACATTAAGTATATAAATTATTAGCTTTTAAAAAATTACAACAGACTTTAGTGCGCCTACATAGTAATGAATTGTTGGTACTGTTTTCTTCATGTTTTAACTTTCCACTCTTAGGTACAGGTTTTCTTGGAACGCCGCCTCTCCTTCGCGATTCGCGAGCTTAACTTGTTCGCAAAAGGAGACGATTGGTGACAGTGGGTGGTATCCAAGGGGCACAGAAAAAAAATTTGAATGGGACCAAACAAGAATTAAAACTTTACAAATAGAAATTATCAACCCAATCAGTTCATGAATGACGGAGTTCTCTGATAACAAACAATACAATTAAGAACTTCCCCTTTTTTTTGAAGTCAGTTAAAATATAAGGTAGATTATTTTACTTGCCAAAGATTCACGATCCTAACTTAATATAAAAATTGCCAATAATAAGGGACAATCTTGGAATAAACGGTCTGCGAGTATTCGTTCTATCTATACTTAGGGCTAAATAAAAGCTTCTTAGAATAGACAAATAATTACACAAAAAGACAAATAACTATACATAGCTAGATTACTTGTCTGGATTTTTTTTCAAAAAAACTTTATATAAACGAAAATACTTTTTTTTTTACTTTTTTGATATCCTGAATTTGTGTACAATAAAGATTATTCTATTCTATTCTACTTTGACCTTATTCTTTTGAAGCACAAGAATTAGGTATTTATCTATGGTTAAAAGGGCGTATTCATTAGTCCTTATGAAATTACGATACATTAGATATCTATTACATTAGATATTTTATTTTCAAGCTTGTAAATCAAATTAAGACTTCACCAGAATTATGTTATTTCATTCAACTTTAGTGGTTTTAACCTTTTATAATAAATATTAACAGATAAAAATATCAACTTTAATGGGCCTTCATTATTATAAATTCTGATCAGATTCACATTTAAATTTACCTACCTAAAATATTATAAGAATCTAAGATATTAATATTTTCTTCAAATTTAAATCCGGCGAATCTTGAATACAACCAATTCAAATAAAAAGAATAATAGCATCGGTTCAAAAGAAAGGTAAATGACTTCCGTATTTCTGCATATCCGAGCTGTGCAAATAACTACTGTATAATGCCCTGATAAGATCGCTTTTAGAATCCTATGAATGCCTCAATGGACTTTTGTGCTTCTGGAGGGTCTAGGCTAGCTTACCCAGCCAACCTCATCCTCACTAATAATTGACCGTTTACAATTCTAAATCCGGCAATAAAAGTGGTTCTATTACTATTTACTAGTTAGCTCATTGGGATTGTGGTGGGATTATGGCAATTATGCTTTTCCAACCGGACTGACGAAACCGCTTATCATCGGTACGACAGTTCGCTTGTTTAACAACGGTTGACAATATGATCGGTCCTTTTTCAGTCTTTCATAATGTACCTATTTATAACACCAAACACTATATTGATTTAGTTTACATATTATTTAGATTTTTTTTATGATGTACTTTGTTAAAACCACATTTAACTTTTTTTTAAAGATTTCTTTTACAAAACAAAGAAAATTATTGTAGTTTGAAAACGCTTTTCACGTTTATTTTCAACTTTCTTTAATTTTCGAGACTTTATTAATTGAGAAGATTCTAACAATCAAACAAAGTGTAGATCAATAGCTTTAGTACATACTGCTTTGTTTACTTTAAATACATTTCACAATTTAATTAAATTAAAAGTATATATCAAATTTTAGAAGTGCTTTCGTAAGCAGTCGTAAAATTTTATTGTCAGCGCTTGTAAAATTTGTAAATAAATTTAAATAACTATAAATTATTAGCGCAGTACCTGATTATTATCTAAGTACATGCCCATGTACTTTATTTGTCGATACCGCATCACTTGCCTTAATTTTAGCGGATAAGAAGGTTTTCAGTGTGAAACTACGCGCTTTTGAGGCCCAGCTAAAGTTATGTATTTCGCTAGGCACAAATATTGAGTACTCCATACATAAAAAATATAAATAATTTTAAATCAGAACAAAAAAAATTCTAGTGCTTGCGATGTTACAAATTGTTTACAGACCTGTCGCTTTTCATTGACAGATATGGATCCCTCATACTATTGCAGGTAGCAGTGCTTGTATTGCGCCTGCTTGTCAACTTAATTTTTGAAACGTTAACCAACCAGACCATTTTATTATACTTATGTGTAGAAGATTTCGAAATAGTGTTATTTACTACGCCCGTCTTTTGTTAACTTTTAGTGGTTAAACAATATGAGAGTCGCTTTGTTTCTTAAAAATCTTTACACATATTGTTACATAGCTACATATCCTTGTATAGAAAGAACAATAAATAAACAACTAATACAATTAATTTAAAAATTCTAGGAAAAGCAATTGGCTTACCACCAAGTTTCTTAGCTCTTGAAGAAGGCAGCAAAGGCGGTGGCGTAATTGAGGTAAATTCAGCTAATAATACTATCCGCTTAAAACATTTTTGTCAGTAATTGTGTGTTTATAAAAAAATAAACATAATTTTCAGGGATCAGCGAGCGAATGTGTGCTTGTATCTATGTTAGCAGCGCGAGCCAACGGCATTAAGCGATTAAAACATCAATTTCCCAACGTCGATGAAGGCCTTTTACTGACCAAACTGATCGCATACTGTTCAAAAGAATCACATTCCTGCGTCGAAAAAGCGGCAATGATCTGTTTCGTCAAACTTCGTATTTTACAACCCGATGATAACGGGTCTCTTAGGGGTGACACTTTGAAAGAAGTGAGTATGAAAAAGCTCTAAAGCTCCATATACTGTTTGTTTTTTCGTTAATCAATTCCGGGGAAAAATTAAAGATTTAACTGAGTAATTGTAAAAAGTGTAGAGTAGTAAACTGTAAACTGAGTAAACTATAAAAAAAAACTTTCAATAGAATTGGGAGATGTGATAGAGTCTAAGAGTGCAGGAGAGGGTGCAGATAGGCAGGCGGTAATTGAAGATGCAAGACGGGATTCGGGAGCTCGGCGACGCCGCTGTCCCGCGTTTAATGACTTGCCCGTAGATGCCGGAAATACGTGGCGAGCCGAGCGGTAATGGAGCCGCATTGTGTGCCACTTTCTATGCCGCAAATATTGAAATTTCTCGATACCCCTTATGAGAAATCTCTTTAATTAAGAAAGTCGTTTAATTTCAGATGAGCTTTTTAGTATTTTGTTGTTATAGTTTAAATATAACTACTTTATTAAATCGGTTAATTAAGCTCACCTTAACAATCTAAATTTCTTAAGTCTTAAGACCAAATAATATATTGTGTAAAATAAATTTTTTAAAATATTTTTAGGCAATGGAAGAGGACGAAGAAGCCGGTCGAGTCCCGTTTTTTGTATCAATAACTCTAGGGACGACATCATGTTGCTCCTTTGACAATCTGCCGGAGATAGGACCTGTTGTGCGAAAATTCCCATGTGTGTGGCTCCACGTTGACGCTGCGTATGCTGGCAGCTCGTTCCTGTGCCCAGAGCATAAACATCACCTTGCTGGGATTGAGTATGCTGATTCATTCAATACGAACCCCAATAAACTCATGCTGACGAGCTTCGACTGTTCTCTTCTGTGGGTTACAAACCGATATTTGTTGACGTCAGCGCTCGTTGTCGACCCACTTTACTTACAACATTGCTATGACCATACAGCCATTGATTATAGGCACTGGGGTGTGCCGTTGAGCCGACGCTTCCGATCGCTCAAGCTGTGGTTTATGTTGCGAAGCTATGGAATCAGCGGTTTACAGAAATATGTGCGACGACATTGTGAACTTGCAAAATATTTCGAACAACTAGTAAAAAAAGATGATCGATTCAAAGTCTGCAATCAAGTTAGGGTACGTAAATCATTTATGAATGTGTGTATTAATACGAGTTGAAATCTTTATGCCCTACACTATCTATATACCTTTTCAGAATCGACTTGTTGAAAAATAAATCTGATTCTGACCTGATTGATTTTGATTTTGATTTTCCAATGTTCTACTTACATAAACATTACTTTTAAAACAATGTTATAGCTCTACTGTTATTTATTTTCTGTTATAGCTGGGATTGGTCTGTTTCTGTCTCGTTGGCAGCCCTGACGACCCAATTGAGCAAATAGACGAACTCAATAAGAAGTTATTGACTAATATCAACGCTTCCGGAAAACTGCATATGGTTCCGGCCTCTGTCAGCGATCGCTTCGTGATTCGCTTTTGCGTTGTGCAGCAACATGCCACTCGAGAGGATATTGGTAAAATTTGTAACATTCATTTAAATAATAATACTTACGTTAAAGTTCATTAAATACTTTTTATTTGATTTGAATATCTAAAAGTTCTGGAGTGCCAGGTGTTGTTACGTTTTTTGTTTTAGTTTTTTTTGATCTAGTGGAAATGTGGGGATTAATTTTCGGGGTAAAATTTTAATGGTACAATGATTAATAAATTTGTTTTGAATTGATTTGCTTTAATAACAATGATTAATTAATTATTTTCAGAAATTGCATGGGATATAATAACAGACTTTGCAACGGAACTTATTGAAGGACCAGATAAGGAACGGGTAAGTAAGATACATATATTATGGTGGAGTAATGCAAAATGGTTAATTATGTAAAAATTATTATCGATTTTATTAGTCCAAACCCTTAGTTCCCAAAGTGGTCCAGGTGGACCCCCAGAGGTCCACAGGAGACTTGACGGGTGTCTACGTTGGCGTGACAAAAAATTGGGGATTCACAATTCGTAAGCGAATACGTCCACGTAAATTTATCTGCTTTCGATATTGAAGAACTAAAATGTTGGCTTGACTTCCTATCAATGCAGGCGGATAATATTTTAAGAAACTCAGCGACTGTTACTTGTAAAAACTTTCATATTCCATATTCAGTACGTGTCGAGATTTGCAAAGCGCTGCCGCTGCCGCCGCCGCCATCCGCAACGCTTGTTCAGACGTGCAAAGGGACAAAATACGACATCACTTTGTTTGCATTTTCAACAATATAAATACGAATGCCAAGGATAAACGTTACTTATTTGTTTCCGGAATTTCGAAAAAAAGTAAAGTAAAGTGAAAAGATGTTAGTGTTTGCCAGTGTCGGAAAAAGTAAGTATTTACCTGCCTATTTGTTATACATACTTTTATTTTATGTTGTAATAAGTATATATGTAGTGTTTGCGTGTGGTAGGTACGTATTAAAAATTAAATACTGAACAGTCATTATTAAACTTGCAAAAAAGAACAGAAATGTTTGTCCCTACCTCATTAGCTTTTTTTACCCGCCTGTGTGGCGGTTCACTATAGGAGAGATATATTATGATAGATCTGCATTATTGTAAATATTTCAGGTGCCTACTGCTAAATGACTTAATTAAGTATATTTACATAAATTGTATGCGTCTTTACGTACCCGTAACGTGCATCAAAGTAATAAATAAATAATTAAAATCGCGGAGTTTTAATATCTAAATATATCTATGAAAAAATATTTTACATTACATTAAAACCGGTTCAGCCGTATTCATAAAACTCTATTATGAATTAAAATCCATGATAGACTTTATGAAGCGATTTATTGCTTTTCATAATTAGAATCACTTTGCCGTCGGTACTTTGTTTATTTCATTGCAATAATTAATTAGGTAATCCTATTCTGTTAAAATAGCCATATCTTTTTGATTAAGACCGCCTTATGATTACTAAAACAAAGTTTTTGTTTTTATTTACAGGTGGGTAACTGATACGAAATATTGCTGAATTTAAGAAGAAATGTCGTTAGTATAGTATTATTTGGTTTTCTTCCATGAAAGGCAAACAAGCTATTGCCCATAGGTCTTTTATGCAACAAAGTTTTTAGCAATGACTCTATGAAACCATCGAAGCTCGAAGATCATCCAAGAAGGTGTCATCCTGATGAAATAGGTAAAGATTTGAAATATTTTCAAACATTAAAGAAATAATATGAAAAGAGACCCACCGTGCACAGTTTGTTCGCTTTAACATCTGAAAGTAACGATGATGACGGGTATCTTACAATTAATCATTACTTATAGCGAAATCTGGAAAACCACACCCCATTGGAGAACAGTTAATTTCACTCGCGAGGAGGTTTTAAAAACTGTTCTGCACAAATCTCCATTTGATATACTCAAAAGAATTCCTTTGAGTAACAACACTGTACAAAGACGTATTGATGAAATGGGCTCCGATATTAAAAGTTTCTTGTGTAATTATCTGCAAACAACTCATTTTTCTATTTAACTGGACGAAACAACTTTACCTGGCAATGAAGCATTATTATTGGCATATGTTCGATAGTTTGTTATTGACGAAGAAATTCATGAAGAGTTACTATTAGCGAAAACTTTGGAGACGGTCACTAAAGGTTAATCAATATTTAACGTCCTAAGTGATTTTTTTAAGGAAAAATCGATTCCATTCACAAACGTTATTTCGGTAGCAACAGATGGAGCTCCTGCCATGGTCGGTCGATATCGTGGATTTATGAGTCATCTTAAAATAATTATATCAGAGGTAACTGCGATTCACTGTGTCATAAACCGACAAAACATAGTAGCGAAAAATTTGAGTGATAGATTGCACCAATCGCTTCAATTTGTGATTCATGCAGTTAACAAAATAAAAAGTAATGCGTTGAATACGTGTTTATTTGCACAATTGTGCGATGAAGACTTCCAACGATTGCTCTTACATACTGAAGTACGCTGGTTGTCGAAAGGTGCACGATTAACAAGATTTTACTCACTTTTTGAATCAGTTTTAGAGTTTCTGGCAAGTAAAGACACAGATTTAAAAGAAAACCTGATCTGAAGATTTAAAGTAATTTCAGCTTTTCCTAGAAAATTGAAATTACGAAGCAAATTATTAGTCAGCGCGAATTTGCCCAGTTTTCAAACTTGTCACAGGTAAAATGCCTTGATGAGGATGTTCAGACATACGTTTAAAATTTAATTGTAGGGCAATGATGACTTCAAAATCAGATTTGAAGATATTCTGACGATAGAAACACCACCATGGATCATATAATAAACCAATTTCATGAAACGGAAGTGGATAATGTGATATTACAAGAGGAGCTACTCGAGCTTAGCGCTAATGAGAAGCTGAAGGTGAAGGTGAAATGTAAAAAAGAGTACCTTTCAAACATTTTGGCTGCAGGCAGAATTAACTGAAAAAAATCCTACACTGTGCGGAATTGCGAGAAAGCTTTTGATAGCGTTTCCCTCGTCATATCTTGTCGAAAAAAGTTTTAGTTGTGTTACAAACATTTTAACAAAAAAATTGCGTTTATTCTGAACAAAACTGAAGCCAAATATTAATAATTTGCTGCCAATCCATCAAGTACATCCCTTCCATTAAAATTATGGCTATTTTGTGATTTGTAATCTTTAATTTTAATTATATTACGACTGTTTATATTCAAATGTAATATGATAACAATAATAATTAATGGTGTAATAATTACATATTTGAATAAATACAACACCTAAAAAATTTTGAAATTTTCTTTATATTTTTACCACTCCGAATTAGGAGTTTTCTAAATGAAAAAAGTGAGAATTGATTAGTTTCTTGTGCTGTGAGTAAATGTAAGTTTGTTAGATTACATTTTTGATTGGCCAACTTTACTTTTTTGACATCCACTCACACCATAATCAATTAATTAATTAACCAATAAATTCTCACTTTTTATTAAGTGGTTCGAACTCAGCCGAAACTCAAAGAACAATCCGCCATTGTACATATGTACGTCTCCATACATAAAAATATTTGGAATCAAATTGCATCGTCTTGTAGCGAAAAAATGTAATAAAAAACGACTTTTTTTTTAGAATCTATCTGTAAATCAATTTTTGTTTGGGGAAGGCTACGAGAAATATATTAGCATATGATTTTTTAGTTACGCACTGCATTTTTTTTTATTTACTCTTTTTAAAAGAGTCCACAGATAAAAAAAAATGTAGTGCGTAAAAGAGTGTTTAATAACTTTTTTCTTTTCATAGCTGCATAATGTTTCCTTTATTTTATCAATTTATCTATGACTATTACGACTTACGATTACCATATTACGACACTTTATTGGACATTATTTACACTACTTGAACAAAATGGCTGTAAAATGGTAACACTAAACCGATAAAGGAAATAAAAATAAACAAATAAGTTTATGATATTATTCTTTCTTTTCCTGGGGTTTTACTGACTTAGACGATAGTTTCAAAAAACGTAGATATTTGCTAGAATTAGTTTCCTATGAATGACATTTTAAGACGCTCATAGCGCGAATAGGTAAGCTGTGGCACGCGCACATCTTATTTTTGGTAATCGACTGTATCAATATACTATCTCTGCTTGACTTAAAGGTCTTAGTTACAAGGTCATTAAATTCCAAAAAAAAAGTATACTATCTCTGACAGTGAATCTTTATTCTTCTAAAAAATACTTTTTATTGATCATAGGACTTGAACGAAGAACGCACACGGCGCCACCGCGCGGCTCTGGCACACAAGCGTTCGTTCTTCGTACGCATGGTGAGCGACCCAAAGATCTACAATCCAGCTATCAACAAGACCCCACCACCCGTGGCCAACACACCCGGCTCCCCACCACCCTCTGCCGCGGCACCATTGTCACCAGATACGCCATCTGAAGCTGACACCAAATTCCCACCATCTACACCGTAAGAAATTTCTACTATCATTAAATCAGCGAGTGTCTAGAAAGTTTTTAATTACAAATTTTAAAATTATTTCATTTTTCTGATCTTACTAGTTTACTCGTAGTGTTCGTAAACAACTTTACTTACAGCCTGTTACCTGTTTTAGCATCTGTAACCTTTAATGACACTAATAAGTAACTTAGTCCATTGTATGGCAACAAAATCAAAAAATCTCCTTTAACTATTCTGTGTTTTCAACAAAGCATAAATATCCGTTGTTTCAAAACGTGTCTATGCATATATGTACATTCATTTTTAATCAAGCAAAAGCCATAGGAATACGTGTTTACATAGAATTTAAGAAAAATCTTATACTATACTATTGTTTTCAGAAAACAATCCTCTTGGATCAGCTGGCCGCTAGGATTTTTCTTCCAGAGCGTGGATAATGACGCAAACGACTTGCCGATAAGGTAAAGATATTGAAAACTAAAGTTACTAACAAAAACATTTGTAATTAACTCGCTATTAACAGTTGTCTTTTGTTTCTTAGTAAGGTAAGCTTATATCATTACTGTATGGTAGTTAAGTATTGAAAAGTAAGTATCAACTTACCGTGGTACAGAGAATTTGGCTGTCCAGGTCGTACCTACCTACCGTGGAAGTATCTCCGTAAGAGTTGAAGAGGAACTTTAACTCTTTTACGTATCTATTTAGTTGATCAAACTCGGCCCTTTTTTTTTTTTAACGTGTGGAAATCCCCTCGGACCGTCACCCCACCGGGGTTTGCGGCGGGGTGGTGTGTCGGACTCGGACCGACTAAAACCACACGGTATGCCACTCTGCGCCTGTAATAGGAGGGATCCGGGAACAGCTGTTATTAAGACATCCGGACCCCTCCTAGCGCCAGCCCGCTCCTGGTGCGGGCTCCGTCTCAAAATTTTTTTTTCCTCTCTTTTTAGGCGACGTCCGGCACACGCGGACGCCGCCCTCTCGCGGCTGGCCAAACTAATGCGGGTGGAGGGGAAACCCACCCCGTCCACCCGCGGCCACACTCAGGGCGGCATGAGGCAGTGGTAGGCGCGCCTCCGCCGCCCGGTTCGCTGGCGGCGGATCGGGTCCGAGTGGAGATCGTCCTCCCGGGCCTTCTCCGCCGCCTCCTTCTGCGAGATTACTTCCTCGCAGAAGGTTGCGACCGCGGTAAAACAACTGTCGCTACCGGCCATGGAGCGTACTACGGCCGGTAGCGAGAGATCCACTCCGATGACTGCAGTGAGGGCCCGGCGCTGCGTAGCCCATGCGGGGCAGACCGCCAGCGTGTGCTGGGCCGAGTCCTCACTGCAGTCGCAGTGGTGGCAGGCGGGACTCAGTTCCCTCCTAGCGACCGAGTGCAGGTACTTTCCGAAGCAACCGTGCCCGGAAAGCACCTGCGTCAGCCGGAAGGTAACGGTCTCGGGCGGAGGGCGAAATCCGCTGCACCGTATAGTGCCATTGACCGGACAACCCCCGTGTACAGCCGTCTTGTCGCGACGCTGGGTCCACCCAAATTGGGCAAAAGTCGCCCTAGGGCAGACGCAGCGCCGACCAGGTTTGGAGCAAGCTGTCGGAAGTGCTCGTCGAAGAGCCACCTCCCGTCGAGGATCAGGCCCAGATATTTCATCTGGGCCCGAACCGGTACGAGGACCAAGTTGACCACGACTGGGCCCATGAAATAACAGGGCCTCCGTCTTATCTAGGGCCACCCGTAAGCCCAGCGCCTCTATGCGCCCGACCACCAGGGAGACTCCCCTTGTGGCCAGGCGCGCCGCCTCTTGGAAGTTCGCCCCCCGGGCTGTCACCAGAGTGTCATCTGCGTAACAAATTACACCCTGCCCGGGGGGGAAATCTGCTCGAAGGGCCCAGTCGTACCCTATGTTCCACAAGAGGGGTCCAAGAACAGACCCCTGTGGAACACCGCACGACATGGGCCGACACCTCAAATTACCCTCTCGGTCCTCGTACGCGACGGTACGCTCCTCTAAATAGTCTGCCACTAGCCGCCTCAGGTACTTTGGCACCCCATGATAGTGGAGTGCTTCCCTGATGCAGCTGAATGGCAGACTATTGAATGCGTTGGCGATGTCTAATGACACCGCCAACAGCACGCCGCCACAGCTCACGGCCTCTTCGGTCACGGCCCTCGGGCGCAAAATAGCGTCGACTGTCGAACGCCCCGCCCGAAAACCAAATTGGGCGTCCGACAGATCGGGGCCCACCTCGCAGAGGTGCCGGAAGATGCGGGCAGAGAGAACCCTCTCAAACAATTTACCCGCCTCGTCCAGCAGCACGATGGGCCTGTAGGCCGCGACCGAATCGGCAGGCCGTCCCGGCTTCCTTAATAGGACCAGCTTCCTGCTCTTCCAGTACTCAGGGAAACGTCCCGACGCCAAGCTGGCGTCGAACACCTCCCCGAGGCGGTCTGCCATGTGGTTGAGGGCTAGGGCCAGCACTCGGGCCGGTACCCCGTCTGGCCCAGGGGCGGTGTTCTTGGAACGGATCCGTAGAACAGCCGCCCCTACCTCCGAATCCCGGACGGGCGGAACATCATCCTCCTCGTGCTCCCCGTCGTCTCCGGCCAAGGAGGCCATCGCCGGGGGAGTGTGTTCCGCTCGTTGCGGGAAAAGGCCCTCAACCACTTCTCGCAGGAAGCTGGGCTGGAGAGCCTCCGTAAGGGGGGGGGGGGGCGGGCGACGCGCGGAGCTTTTGTCGCACCGCGCGGTAAGGGCGACCCCAGGGGTCACGATTAAGACCCTCCAGCATTTCCTCTCTTTTTTCTTCCTTGGCGCGGCTAATGGCCAGCTTCAGAGTTTTCCGGATCAAACTCGGCCTGTGCGAAGCTTTTGAAGAAAAACTGAAAAATTGATAACTTGCATTAACGGTAACTTGAATACGCACAATCCCGCTCTATCATCTCTAGCAGGTATTCCCAATAATACCACTCCCCACTTTAATATTTACGTTTTCTTTCAAGGTTCCGGCACTTAGACACAATGGTGCGGCTGAAGAGTCCCGCAACAAGCCGCCGCGGCTCCACCCCGTGCGCTTCACCAGAACACCGCGCCTCCTCGCCATCCTACCATTGACCGACTCCTAAATAGAAGACTAGCCCTCCTCCTTTATATTCAGTTATCTCAAAAATAAATATCTGAGCATTGAATTTTTGGTTATTATTACATTCCTTTAAAAACCAGGTCAATTTGTTGGGACCCGCTTGGTTTCCTTGTATAGTATTTTTTTTATGGTATACATGGGCAAACGAGCATAGGGGTCTCCTGATGGTACTACCGCCGCCCTTTGGGTCCTTAACCCTGGAATTGGAGGGACGGTTTGTTTTGAGGTCTAGTGGCCTCACTCACTCGGTTAATAGCAACGAAGGAATTGCCTATCAAAGGACTCCTGTGAGTCTGTGGTATTACTACGGTCGAGCCGGCCTATTTGTGCCGAAGCAGGGCTCTCCCACGGCATACTTTTAAGATGCTTAAAACCTGGTTACGAGGGCTTAGAAGTTTGCATGAATATAAGTTACGAACGTTGCAAAAAGTTTGGTGAAATTTAGGGGAGTTCCTGAGTAGAGACGGCGGAGCGGGACCGGGAGAGGAGGCAGGAGGTCGCAGAACGACCTCCGTCCTCCATAAGCGCAGGCCTGGGGGTGACAGGTGAGGCCATTTGTCACCCCAGCAGAAGCAGGCCGGGGTGGCGGCGAGCGCGTTGCGAAGCGCGATCGCTTACAGGGAGCAGAGGGAACATAGTGTTCCCACACGGGGGGGGTCGTCTACTCGTCTGTAGATTCTTCCTTTCTAGGGTATACCTGGTTCTCCGGCTATTAGTGGTTTTAGTCGGTTCGAGTCCGACATGCCACCAATAGGATTTATTTTTATTTGTAAAATTCTCTTTATGGTGTAGACCGTGTCGATAGTGCACGTTTCGAAAAAACATTTTAAAATTTTTAACATCAAATTTGTTATTTTTCTTTATACGTATGCGGTTACATTCGCATGCAATATATATGAATTAGGATTTAAAACATGAGTACAGAAAATATCTTTGTAACTTTTTGGTTTCATAATAATAACCGTGTTGTAATTGCTCTATACAATTACAAGACCATTTTCTTATACGAGGGCGGGTCAATAAGTCCGTGACTTTTGGAATAAAACAGATTTTTGATAAATAAATCATTTTATTTTTCAACGTAGTCTCCCTTGAGCTCTATACACTTTGTCCAACGCTTCTCCAATTTTTTTATCCCTTCCAAAAAATATGATTTGTCGAGGTCCTAATAGGCCTTTGTTTGCGGATGACTTCATCATTGGAGTCAAATCTTTTACCACCAAGCCATTTCTTCAGGTTTGGGAACAAGAAGTAGTCACTCGGAGCCAAATCTGGAGAATAGGGCGGATGAGGGAGCAATTCATAGCCCAATTCATGGATTTTTGCCATGGCAACTGCACATGTGTGCACCCTTGCATTGTCTTGGTGGAAAAGAACTTTTTTCTTGGCCAAATGAGGTCGGTTTTTTTTCAAATCGTTATTGAATCGGTCCAATAAGTTGGCATAATATTCCCCATTGATTGTTCTTCCCTTTTGAAGGTAGTCAATGTAGATTATCCCGCGTGCATCCCAAAAGACAGTCGCCATAACTTTATTGGCTGACAAACCCACCTTGGCCTTCTTTGGCGCCGATTCACCCCTAGAAACCCACTGTTTTGACTGTTGTTTGGTCTCTGGTGTGTTGTGATGGATCCATGTTTCATCCACGGTTACAAAACGGCGCAAAAACTCCTCCATATTGCGATTAAACAACGCCAAACCTTCCTGTGAAGTTGTTACACGATTGCGTTTGTGGTCGACTGAGCAATCGCGGCACCCATCTTGCGGAAAGCTTTCTCATGCCCAAGTGATCATTCAAAATTGAAACCACTGAGCCATGCGAGATCCCTACGGCTTCCACAATCTCTTGCACTTACAATCTTCGGTCGGCCAACACCATATCGTGAATTTTTTCGATTGTTTCGGGTGAAGAGACCTCAACTGGGCGTCCAGGACGTTCGGCATCTTCAGTGCTTGTACGGCCACAACCAAAATCAGTAAACCACTTTTTTACCATTGAAATCGATGGTGCAGAGTCCCCATAGTATTTATCAAGCTTAGCCTTGGTCTCGGTAATGTTTTTTTTTCGCAAAAAATAATGCTTAATAAGCACACGAAATTCATTTTTTTCCATTTTTTCCTCAAATTACTGGGTAGTCTGATAAAGATAGCTGTCAAACACAAACTAACTGACTCAGCAAGTTCAAATTTGACAGGAGTCAACTGACAGATGCCTGTTGACAGGAGTAGTGTTGCTTTTTCAGTAAAGAGGTCAGAAATTCAAAAAGTCACGGACTTATTGACCCGCCCTCGTATCTATAACCCAAAGGTGTAATTAAAGTCACTGCAAACGATAGCTTTATGGGAAAGAGCAGAGGCGAATTAAGTATCAAGAGCGCCCTAGGCAAGCATCTCATTGCCCCGCCCCCCCCCCCCCCCCCACCCCGCGCCTCTCTAGCGTATTTATCTAGCGTAACTAATAGAGTATAACTATTATTTATATCTGCTTGACTAGTTGAATACTAAATTGAGTTACTAAATGTGTGATAGTGATTATTCCAAATTTTAGTTGTCATTTCTTTACTAAAACATTTCTTTTTTTTCCTGTGGAAACCCTCATAGGCTGTCATCCCACCGGGGTTTGCGGTGACGCGGTGTATCGAAATCGAACCGACTAAAACCACACACTGCGCCTCAAATAGGAGGGTACCGATAACAGCTTTTATTAAAACGGACGGGCCTTTATTTCTTTCAGGCCTGCACTAATGCAGGATGAGCCGCTTGAGTACCTGGCCCGTTTTCGGGCCTCGTGGACCTGGAGAGTACTAAGCCTTAACTTGCTCGCAGACGGAGGTGGCACAGTTCCACGCGTCATTCAGCAGTTCCTCCGTACCATGGCCGCAATAATGGTACCGAACTAAAGAAACCTCACTCCGATATCCACGCTCTGCCCACCGCAATAGTGGCACCCAGGCGTTGGTTCCTTGCGGATCAGACACAGGTGTTCTCCTGCGTCAGCCGGTATGAGAGGGTCCCGTGTTTCGTCTCGAGCGAATCCTCCATAACGACTCTTACCGCTGCTATAATAGCGTGCCCAGCGCTTGGTTTTCACCAAGGTTGGCCCAAGTCTTTTCACTCCACTCTTTCACGAGGACTAGCAGAGTTGGGATTTCTGGTCCTCGATTTCTTGGGTCCCACGATCCCGACCTAGTACGAGCCCCAAATACTTCATCGAGGGCTCGATGTCGATGCGAGTACCTCCTACTATGAAACTGGATTCCTCAGGTGGCCTCCTCCGAGGCTCATAAAAGAACACAAGTATTTCTACAGGGAAACCTCGAGTCCCCGCCGGATTCTCACGGTGCGCCTTACCATACGCCGTCACGAACATGTGAAAACGATACCATCCAAGAAGGCACAGCGGAGCACCCAGTCACATCACACATCACATCAACAGTCTTTAATAGTCCACTGCTGGACATAGGCGTCTCCTTAGAAAGGAGGTTTTGGCCTACTATACCACGCTGGCCAGACGGGTTGGTATAGGGTTTGTGTCAAGTTTTCCTTCTCTCTGCAGTGCTGTTGTCCTGCGTAGTTTGCTCCCTTAGTCGCCTCTTACGACACCCACGGGATGAATAGGGGTGGTGACACTCTGTATTCTTAGTCCGTCACCACACGGATTTATTATGTATAAGTTACTTAAGACATCGACTTTTATAGATGACCTACGGATCAACCTTTCCCCAGGCCGTATTATTTAGATATCTATGTTTACATTTCAGTGACCATTATAACAGCGCATGATAGAGCAGCGACAAACCAGTTCGTTGACCGCTTTTTCTTTCACCTTAAATTAATACTTAAGGCTAGTTGGCAGGTGCAGTCTAATGCTGAATAGCAAATGAATTTTCTGAATAGTCTTATATACACACATTTCTGTTTAAACAAACATATATCTCTTTCATCACGTCAGTAGGTATAGAAATAAAGGTCATTTATGAAATTCTCGATATACTTACGTCCAATGTGTGGCATATATACCTTAGAACAAGAAAAAAATACAAGAAATATATCAATTTGTTTTTATTTATCATATTTACCTACAAAAAAGTTTAATCCCAAACAATTTGATGCGATTTTATTTCACCATTCCATCCAACAGTATGGAGAAGTTTCTTATCTTCTAAGTCCCAGGCCAACCCCCTAACAAAATTACTGTGCCTATGTCTGTCATGGTATATGATACTCGCTGTCGAAGGCTCCGAGACATCACACACTGACACAATCTTATTATCACAGCATACAGCCAATTTTTCGCTTCTGTAAAGAACATAATTAGTACTTATAATATTTTTATTTTTTACTAAAACTATTTTGTCTTAGTCTTAAATAAGGTGACCGTCTGGCTAACCGCGGCGTCTTAGTTCTATTGAGGTCCGTCGCAATCATCAGTGCTTCTAGAAGTATTGGACCATGTATATTATAAGGTGGAGCGTTCTTTGACTTGTAAAATGAAGTTTCCCGTGTTGAAATCCATGACAAACACAATGTTAATTAAAATATTTTACAATAAATTACACTTACTCTGACTGCACAGCTACTTTGTGTACCGCAGCAGGAAATTCTGTTATTTTAACAACACTGTCAGTATTTCTTATATCTATAAAATGTAACACGCCGGCTTCATCTCCGGCCACTAAACAGTGCTCATTAATCCATGCCAAACAACGAACACAGCAATCATTTTTTAATAAATCTGCAACAAAAAGTTTTAAAGAATATAATAAATACATGCTAGGCCTTTGGTGCTGGCGAGCAGGGCAACCACCTCCTGCAGGGGCCTCGCGTACTCGCGAAACACCCAAGTAGAGAAATATGTTCGGGAATTTCGAGTGTTTCGTTTTGCCAGTCATTTTGACAAGCTACCAGTGTTGACTATGTCATCGGCTTTTGTGTTCGAGAAGCATTACGTGTTGCTTTCTATTTTTTATTTCAAATATCATCATTAAAACTAATACCACAAATGCAAGGGCCTCGCAATGATCCAGCCCGAATCACTCGAGTCGAGGAGGGGGGATTTGGGCTCCAGTAACCTCACTCACTCAGTGAAAGGCAACGAAAGAATTGCTTAACACCGGTTTTCTGTGAGGCCGTGGTATCGCTCCGGTCGAGCCGGCCCATTCGTGCAGAAGCATGGCTCTCCCACGGTAACGGTTATTTTTTTGTTGTTGACTTCAGATTTTAATGAAAAATAAAACTAATAAACTAAAAACTTCATTGTGTATGCTGACCTAGTACCGGTTTATCAATATTTTCATCCCACAGTGTCACATATTGGTCCATAGAGCCCGTTGCAAAGTTCGTTCTAGATTTTGGTTTCACAGATACTGCATAAATTATTGAGCTATGGGCTGCAGAGTAATTCCTTATGCAGATCAAATCTTGTATATCCCATACCTGGAACACAAATATTATATATAAATACAGGGAAACAAAAAAAAAGTGATGAATGATATGATTATAATGATTTAACGAAAGAATTTCAGAATTTGCTATAAACTGACCTTGAAAGCCTCTTCCTTTAAAAGTAAAAAAGAGGCCAAATTGTGCAAAGGAAAAGGACAGGCTTATACATCAGTCACATTTTCCACCTTCTTTTTCTGTAAATCTTTCTCAAACATTTCGCATGAAATGCATATCGAGTAAGTTATTTAAAAAAAGTTAAGGTTTTAACTTATAAGTACTTAAAGAATTTTATGATGGGAGTGCTAAAATTGAGTCCTGCTCCATGACAAGCTTCAACTGTTAGAAGAATTTAGAAAAAGTTAGTAAAAATTAACTTCCCATTTCAAATACTAATATGGCATACATATTTATAGATTCATTTTTAAAGACCCTATTCTTTTTATGGCATAAGGGGGCAATCGAGCAGCAGACGGGTCACCTGATGGTAAGATGCCGCCCATGGACACCTGCAACTTAAAAATCACAAGTGCGTTGCTGCCTTTGGCGTCCCTCCCGCTCGAGTCAGCGGGAGGGGGGATTTGGGCTCCGGTAACCTCACTCACTCAGTGAAAGGCATCGAAAGATTTGCTTAACACCGGTTTTCTGTGAGGCCGTGGTATCACTCCGGTCGAGTCGGCCCATTCGTGCCGAAGCATGGTGCAATGATTATTAATAGTTACAAAACTACTAGTAAAATAAAAGGTCTCTCCTTAAAAGGAAGTTTTGGCTAAGTATACCACACTGGCCAGACGGGGATATATGGGCAAACATGTAGATGGATCACCTGATGGTAAGTGACTACCGACACCCATGGACACCTGCCCCTCAATAGTATAAGTATAATGGCTCTCTTGAGTATACCCCCATACTCCTAATCAATTGGAGGCGAGATGACAAACTTCACCGAAGCTCACTATGCTCATACTTATTTTTACTTTGATAGGTCTGTTGGTCTTGTGGTTAGTGACCCTGACTGCTAAACCGGAGGTCATGGGTTCGATTCCCACTCAGGACAAATACTGTGTGATGAGCATGGTCATTTGTTCTGTGTCTAGGTGTAATTTTTCTATAATATGTATGTATTAAAAAATATATGAGTAAATTTATCAGAAATGTGGTTACCACAGTGCAGGCTCTGTCTAGTTTGGGATCAGATGACCAATATAATGAGTTGTCAATTCATTATCTAAAAGACATTTTTTATAATCAAACATCACTGTAATGTAGGTCATTTTAGTACTGGTGCGGACCGAGAGTGCTGGAACTCTGCGTGAGTGTTGCAGAGCGCAGGGGGAGCGTGGGGGTTTCCACACAGGGAGAGGGTGGGGGGGGGGGGGTTAAATAGATGGCCCGAGGTACGTCAGGGTACCTTTCTAGGGTACACCTGGATTCCATTAAGATAGGTTATTTTAGTACAAATATACCTTTGCATGTCCATCAGCTCCAACAGTAACATAATGATGTCCAGGATCAAGACAATCCACACCCATTGCCATATCATCATGTTCTGCAACCGACACTTCATCTATCCACTGGTTCCAAGCATTTTGCTCATTTGCATGACTCCATATACTCAGGGCTCCACTATCCTCACATAGTAACACCTTAAAAAGAATAACCATAGCATTAATGGCCACATAACCGCTTGGCCAATTTCAAGCAATTTTAATCACAGCTTAAGAGAACTATGTAACTACATTCCTTATGACACAAAGTACCATAATAACACAAAATAAACAATGAAACTGTTAAAAAAAAAATGATTTATCACATATATGAGTGACTGACAATAATATTTATGTATTTAGTAATATAATATTTATGATTATAATTATTTAATAAGTTACTATAAAATCATCATTCACATAAAAGATCTTATCAACTAAGTTTTTTTTAAACTGCTTTAACTCACAATGCCCTTGACTTCTTTCCTTCAAATTAATTATTAGAAAATTCTAATACATACTAAATAACTGTATTAAAGCAAGTTTATCAGTATTTTTCAAGGTAAAATATAATAAAATTTCCACCTATTGTGAATTTGAACAATGTAATCAGGCACAAATTGCTTCTAAAAACTGTAATTGCTAATTACCTTGCTACTACATTTATGAAGCTTACTCATAGATAGATAGAAAACTCTTTATTTGTACACCATTTTACAAGTAGTAATACATAAAGATGTCAAACATGTAATGTACAAAGGGCAGCCTTATTGCTAAGGGCAAACTCTTCCAGGCATTTAGGATGGATTAAAATGTTTTGGAGAGACAGTAGTAGTTGAAGGTGCAATGAGTATTATCAGATTAATTATTAAAGTATATAAAAGGGGTAAAATTAGATAAATATTTACACATTAAATACATATTTATACATATGAACAAATCTATACAATTAAATAAAATTGGAGTGTCTGTTTGTAATATTAATATAACCGCTTTTTACTAAATGGATATGTATGTTTACACAACAAACACGGGTAACACCGCGGGTCTCAGCTAGTATACAATTTACATACATACATAACTAATTAAGTATATCACATAAAAAAGAGAAGAAAAGGAACATTCTTATTTTGCCTTATTCTTGAAATGTAGAGGCATCTTAAGTCCCAAATCCTTGGATGACCTCAGACATTTTTCATGTGTCATTAGGGACCTTGAAACATTCTTTGAGGTAGAAGGGGGCTCTAGGATTGAACACTATGTTACAAATAAAAATGAGGATATGAGTATCTCGGTGAGAGTGATTTGGAAGCCACTTGAGAAACGTGATCATATTTTCTTAGCACAAGTAGAAATCATATACAGAGATTTTAAAGTCGCTTAAGCCTGTAAAGTTGTGCTTCAGTGAGATTCAGATTTTTGACATTGGCATAGTTGAGAATTCATACTTCTATTAACATGAATATTATGCCCACCTTATTGGAATTTTCAATAAAGCATCCATCTGAAGTACCACTGATTAACGATATACCTAGTTTTTCTTCTGTTTGTATTCTTCGTGCGTCTTCTATATTTTTATATATACTGGCCCCTCCATTCCAGTACCGTCCTGTTAGTTCTGAAGATCCCACTAACACAGTGCCATCTGTAATACACGTAGCGACCGTTTCAACAAATGTACTTTATTGTAATATATTAAATAAATTCTTACTGATTATTACTACCTGAATGAATACGAATAAAATCTAAATACGAAAGCGTGCTTGTGCCGGTAGTATCTGTTCTGTAAATCTCAGCGTTCAGATGTGGTGGCACTATTTTGTTACTAATATCCATTATTTACAAGTGATCTTTATATTTAATCAAAAGTTTTATGCTTTATGACTTGGAAAGCAATAAAATAAAATAAGCCCAAGGAAAAAACCGCACCACGAACAAACCAAACAAATTTAACGAATGACTTCATGACAGTTGTCTTGAGTTGACAGATTGACAGTTGACCGTAATATTCCATTCTACCGTAGTAGTAGTACCGTAGTATTATCGTCGTCTTTTTTACACGCTTTATAGTAGCTTCACTTGTATGTTTGTATGTTTGTTTGTAACCGACTCCTTTTTACATGCTTTATATTAGCTTCACTTGTATGTTTGTATGTTTGTTTGTAACCGACTCCTTTGGGCGTGATTTTGACTGTCAGAATTCGTTCAAACTTTGTAGATATATCGAGGACCGATGACAATACACTAATTTAAAAAATATATAAAAAATAGTTTTTTAATTTTTTAAAACTATTATTTTTTATTATAATATCGTCGTATAACACATAACACATTGGTATAACTACAGAAACTATGAACAAACATAAACTCCTTTTAATAAGGCTAGCTCTTGTTCTACTCAAGATTTGAGTCCAAAAAACTAAACAACCGGAGGCCCTTCCCCAATACGCCTGGTCAGCGCGGGGATGAAGACCACCACCCTCCAGCTAAAATAAAAAATAATAAAAAATTTAAAGCAAATCAAAACTCCAAAAGAGTACAAGACGACCATCCTAAATCCAAAAGATGCGAAGTATTTTATATTGCAACCCTCAACACGAGAACCCTCAGAACACCCGAAAGTCTATTAGAATTAGAAAAGTCGTTAAACGACGTAAAATATGACATTCTTGGCGTAAGCGAAATGCGGAGATTGGATGAAAAAATTGAAGAACGTAGTAACTACATATTGTATCACAAAGGTGAAATTGCAGGCCATAGGGCAGTAGGATTTCTAATTAAACAGTCACTTAAGAAGGACATACAAGAACTTACAGGAGTTTCAGATAGATTAGCGATATTGAACATAAAAATCCCAGGATACAGAAAACCATGGTCCATCATCCAAGCATATGCACCAACTGAGCAAGCAGAACCAACAGTACTCGAAGCATTCTATTATGAGTTGTCAGTGGCCATAAAAAATAATAGTAATAATATAGTCCTAATGGGCGACTTCAATGCACAAGTCGGAGAAAGGAAAAACAATAACGAATATGTACTTGGCAAGTTCGGGCATGGTAAGAGAAGTCGAAACGGCCAAAAGCTGGTTGAATTCTTAAAATTAGACGAACAACAACCAGTCGAGCAGGCCGGATTTAGAAAGGGATTTTCAACCATTGACCATATACATACTGTTAAACAAATACGTGAGAAATACAACGAGTACAATAAGGATATATTCATAGCCTTTATAGACTACGCCAAGGCCTTTGATAGCTTGAGTCATGAGTATATTTGGGAAAGCCTAGAACACCAAGGAATACCAACCATATATATCAAAATTATAAAATGCATATACTCCAATATCAAAGCTAGGATTTGGCTAAAGACATTGGGAGGTGAATTTCAAATACAAAGAGGTGTGAGACAAGGGGACCCACTTTCCCCAAAATTGTTTTCTGCAGTACTGGAAAATTTATTCCGTAAACTAAACTGGAAAGAATATGGCATTAGTATAAACGGATCTAGAATGCACCATCTAAGATTCGCCGACGACCTAGTGCTACTAGAAGAATGCCCCAAAAAGCTAGACTATATGATACAAAATCTAAGAGAAGAAAGTATAAAAGTCGGACTAAAATTGAACACTACTAAGACAAAATTAATGACAAACTCCCGAAAAACCAACATCAGCATTAATAATGAACTATTGGAGTATGTGGAAGATTATACTTATTTGGGTCAAGTCATCTCAACCAAAGATCAAATGGCAGAAGAAATCAACTTCAGGATCGCTACTGGATGGAGGAAATACTGGTCGCTCAAAGAAAGTCAAAGGACCTGAGCATGTCACTGAAGAGAAAGACCTTCAACTCATGTATCCTACCATGCTTAACATACGGCTGCGAAACATGGGCCCTTACTAAAATATTAAGGGAAAAGCTTGCCATAGCCCAAAGAGCAATGGAAAGGAGCATGACAGGATGTAAACGACAGGATAAAGTGAGAAATATGGACCTGCGTCTAAAAACTAAACTCACCGACGTATTGAATCGAATCGATCAGCAGAAATGGAGATGGGTAGGTCACATGATGCGGGAAAATAAAGGGAAATGGAGCAAAGCTGTTACAGAATGGTACCCAAGGGATGGACGCAGAAGCCGAGGAAGGCAAAACATAAGATGGGAAGATGAGATCAGGTTGACAGTGGGACCAATGTGGAGAAGGGTTGCTCAGGACAGACAACAATGGAAATCGTTGGAGGAGGCCTATGCCAAAAGGCACACCGAATTAAGAGACATAGTGTAACTAAAATCATGTAACATGAAAATGAACCTGTGTAATCTCTAACTTTGGTATAAGGGGCTATTACATAATAAGAACAGATACTACTACTCCTTTAACCCCCTGCCAACTGAATTTTTTCATCATCATCATCATCGACAGTTTTTAACAGTTCACAGCTGTCCACGATGGGCACACTGGTTGGATTAGGGTTTGTTTCATGTTTTGCTTCTCTTTGCAGTTTGTTGTCATGCGTAGTTTGCTCCCTTAGTCAGCTCTTGCGACACCCATGGCATGAATAGGGGTAATGACACTTCATATTATTAATCCATCACCACACGGCATGGATCTGAATCTGGATATTTGATTTGAAAGTATTAGCCTTCTCGACTCTAAAAAAACGCAAAAAAACCATATTAAACTTGACCAGGAAAGTTGAACTTTATCTAAATCTAAAAAATCTAAAATTTACGAGAAACCCGAATTTTAGTTTAGTATCACATGGTACAAAAATATTGAGTAATTAACATCACAAAGTTGTCCGAAGAACTCGCAATTTGCAGACACACTGCACTCGGTAGGCGCGCAAGTGCCACTGACCTCTCCATCGGTATCGCTACTTCGCAACATTTCATTGATAAATAAAGTACCTAACATAACATTCAAATACTAAAACTTCACTTAATTAAAGAGCACGTTCGAAATGAGAAAAAAAATACAAAAATCTTAAGTGATATCTATACTAATATTATAAAGCTGAAGAGTTTGTTTGTTTGTTTGTTTGAACGCGCTAATCTCAGGAACTACTGGTCCGATTTGAAAAATTCTTTCAGTGTTAGATAGCCCATTTATCGAGGAAGGCTATAGGCTATATATCATCACGCTAAGACTAATAGGAGCGGAGCACCAATGAAGAATGTTTCAAAAACGGAGAAAATTTATTACTATTGAGAGACGCAGACGAAGTTGCGCGGGTCAGCTAGTGTACAATAATTAATAAAAAAAGAAATTAGAGGTTAACTTACCACTACTGTTTTACATGTATTGTAATAAATGTTCAAGTGTCTTGTAGATATCTAAATTCAAAATGTAGTCTAGATATTGTCTAACGACGTGTAGGTTGTGATATGACCACCAATGTTCGTTATGTTGGTTGTACAAACCCACACGAGTAAACAAGACCTCTGAGTTCGTCCACAAAATATTGGCACCGGGGTGTTCAATAAGTCACTCGAAGAATTTATGACGCGGTAAGACGTCTGTTTCTTGTAAGTCTTGGACTTTTTGATAACGGTAAAAGTGTAAGCCAGCTTTGTTTATCAGATTCCATACTGCGTATTGGCTTACGCTTACGAAACGCTGCGGGCCCGTGTGCTTTCTCGAGGATCCCGATCAAAGAAGTCGAAGATTTGTTCTTCCACCTTGCAAGTCTTGACCTTGCAGTACCCCCTGCCTGTGACGGGGTTCTAAACTGTCCGTAGGCTAACAGCCTCTGATTTGCGGATAAAATCGTTTGGCGGTTAGGGACCGATGGATTTAGTATACCTTGTCTTCGGAGTCGTGGTATACTTTTCGACTCATGCAAGCGATGTGCACCATTTAGGCTTCCACCTCTACGAACGTAAAAACACACCATTTTGTAATACTCGCGCTTAGAAAACATTGTTTGCACTGTTGACGTCACGGAAGAACGAGCAGTCAACACAAAGGATGCATCGAAGCGACAAGACGCGACCGAATGACCTATTAATTATTTAATTGATTGATTTGTACCTGCCGACAGCTTTTCGCACGGGCCTCATCCTGCCACACCACGTCCCCAGATGCGTTCTTTCTCTCACTTTTTACGTTATTAGCATAAGACTATTTTGTACGTTTGAATTAGTGACCATGCTGCTAAGTATTTTCTTCGGAATGAAATATTATATGTTGAAAATTTATCCTTACATTTTTATTGCAAAAACGGGGTCTTTCAGTAATGTCTAGTGCCTAAAAAATATTTAGACTGCAACTACAATTCTTTCACGGTGTAATCCCAAACTAGGCAGAGCCTCTACTATGGTAATCAGACTGCTGGTAAACATACTTATATATTTCTAAATCCATATGCACATATTATAGATAATGTACACCCAGACAGAACAAATGACCGTGCTCATGGTGCTCACGACCTCTGGCGTAGTAGTCAGGGTTACTAACCATTAGACCAACAGGGCAGTCATAGAGAGAGGCTCTGCGGGCAACGAGCTCTCTCGCACCGTGAGACATGGTGAGGCTTCCCTTGTGTGCTTCGATCAATAATAGTACTAGATTCCCGATCAGCGCTTCAAAAACGGCCCGAAAAATAAGAGCACAAAAGTGTTTGTGCTCCTATTTCAAATTAGTAAGGTCCAATCATACCCAACAATAGGACGTCAAAATGCCGCAGTGCGCGTTCAAAAACTGTGTAAATAACCACCGTAACACCAAGGTTTTGGAAGGAATATCTTTTTTTCGGTAAGTTAATATCAATAAGTGTTTTTTCATAATATAATAAGTATAAACAGAATTAAACTGTAAGTATAATTCAATTAGCGAATGTTATAATTGTTTGGCCAATGTTTGCTACAACGCATCAATTATTGTATCAAACATCGACTGTTCTTGAACAGGGAATGCATGGAGTAGTGTCGTTATTTTGTAACGTTATTTTTGTTTGTAGATTTGCTAGTGACTTATAGACTTTTAAGCTATAGACTTTTGTAATAAAACCTTAAATATTCCCGCATTTAGAGAATCAGAATGCACAGTAGAATTTATTAAGATACTAAATGATCTTTTTGAAATCCTAAATACAAGAAATCTTAAGGACTTTGGATTCAAACACCCTTTGAATAAGGGTAGTTCACAAAAAATATTGTAGTTCTTGTCCTAAATTAAAGACTACTTATTGTCATTATCAATTACTGTTACAAATAAAAATTCTTAACAGAACTTCAAAATTGGTTGGTTAATTTGATGTGGAATTTAGAGATATTTTATTTAGTAAATCTGTGCGGGTCCTGCTTTTGGTGTCAGGGCGGGTCGCTTAAAGCATTAAATACCTACATTTTTTTGCATTAGCTTATTGGTTTGGATGAGTGTTTTATTCACTCGCGCGTAGTTTTTAATTTAAGATATCTCCTAACATATTCATTTAAATTGTATGGTGTAAGGCGTCTATTATAATGTGTATGAATTGCTTAAGATAACTAAAGTATTTATTTTGATAACGATTAATACTGTATCCGTCTAAATAGCTTTTGCAAATACCACATTATATGTGATAAAGTAAATACACATACATATTACACAAAAACGTAACTTATAAAAATTATAAGTAATGTAAAGATACTAACAAACATACATAGATGTCCGAAACATAAAAAGTAAGCAACTAATATTTTACGTTCATATTATAAATTATTTTAGTGTTCAACGAGACTCCATACCTCCTGTAGTAAAACTAGAAGAAGCAAAAATAAAACAAACAAAACGATATAGCTCTCAAGGCAATAACGAGAAAAAGTACTTTATTTGTTCACCCATAAGGTTGATTTTACACTAAATGTTATTTAAGTTATGTCTTTTCATTTGAAAGTGATAGGAGTAATTTATTGCTTTGCTCGTTTTTTGCAAGGAATGATCGTAAGTATTAGATAATATTTTGAAGATTTGTGACTTTATTACTGTGTACCATAGTTGTAATTAGGTTGAACTTAAAACTATTTTAAAACTTTTCTATCCGTTTGTTGGTAAACAAATGTAGCTGCATAAGTATATATTCACGCGGACAGCATTTAGCTTTGACTTTGTACGTGACCCTTTATCTAGTTGCTTTTGTTGATCGAAGCTTGTGTGCTCTATTTCTTATATCTGTTAAGGTTTAAAATAAAATATATTGTCTTATCTGTATCACTGGTAGAAACTGTTTTGTTGAATCTGTGTCTATGTTGTCTGTAAAAGTAAGAGAATGGTAGCAAGTGTTCTAGTTAACAATGTGCCAGTATAAGTATATAGAGTTCCAGTGTAAGTATATCTGTGAATGTGCCTCTGCTAAGTAAAAGGCTTAAATAATATTAAATTGTTTTCTTTATAATATAAGCCCTAAAAATATCATCTCTATGCTAGGACATGAACATAGTGATGAGGTACATACCAATATAATCCTCTCGACAGTGTCGCGTCCGCTCAGCGGACTTTGCACATTAGTGCGCTTCTGTGTCGAGCCCGCTACGGGGATCCGCCGTAGAAGTATATGTATAGTCTGTTTTTTCGATTACTACAGTTCTCGCTCTATGGTACTCATTATCAATCAACTAAGAATGAACAGGTTCTCCCTATCACATATAAGTTGTTTGGTCTGTGGTACAAATTTTTTTGACGATCTTTTATTTAAACTGTGACCATTTCAGTCAGTGTTTTCCGCGAACTTTTCGGTTTGTGCAACAACAAATATTGTAATAACTTTGATTTATTGGTCATTTGATTTTTATTTTATCAAGTACCTACTTAATATTATACAAAAAATATATAATTTTACATCCAGCAAAGTCTTTATTTTTTATTAATTGTTGACCCATTTGTTTTCTCATAGAACAGTTGCAATGCAATTGCAATTCAAAGTCAAGTGTAGTGTAAGAAATTACACAAAGAAATTTAATTCGAATATAAATTATTAATTGCTTTATTATATTTATTAATGGAGTTAGAGAAAATCAGGTTTTTTAAACCTATACCCTAAAAATACGTTGTCTGTGTAGGTAAAGTCCGTTCACGGGACTCCACAGAACGAATATTTTACATTTTGACATGTCACTGGCGAGAGGATATAAGCTTGCGGAGTACTGACAATTGACGTTCGCTTGTCATTCTAGTCATTTTTGTCAAATACATGTGATCAGGTGGAAAGAACGCAGTCTAGTTTAATTTGTGTTTTATATTTTTATAATACAAGATATACGTGACAAGTAAGTTAATTAGGCTTCATTGCAAATCATTAAATACGTACTTATTTATTATTGTTGTAACATCATTGGTTTATAAAGAAGTACCTACTCTTTGTATTTGATGCATTTTACATCAACATTGGACTGCTTTTTGTGACGCTCTATGACAATTAAATACTAATTATTTTTATTGATTATTTACAAGTTGTAACTAATCTTTGAGTGTTTAAATGATTAGTGATAAATGTTTTTATTTGAAGAAATGCCGAAATTGGATCTGGAACAAACACTAACTGGCCATAAAGGTATCGTATGGCACGTATCATGGCATCCTCAAGGGAAAATGTTTGCTTCCTGTGGCGAAGATAAAACGATTAAGTTGTGGAGCAAAGAAGGCCAAGAATGGGCAATAAAGACAGTACTTGTAGATGGTCACAAGCGCACTATCAGACAAATTGAATGGTCTCCGTGTGGGAATTATTTGGCATCAGCTAGCTTTGATGCCACTACTGCAATTTGGGATAAAAAAAGCGGTGTGTAATATTTCATGAAATTACAAGTTAGTGTTAATTTCACAAATCTCAATACTCTATTAGATATTGTTTTATAAAATGAGCCTGTTTGAACAGGTCAGTTTGAGTGCAATGCAACATTAGAAGGCCACGAAAATGAAGTCAAAGGAGTGGCATGGTCTCCATCTGGTCAATTGCTAGCAACCTGTGGCCGTGATAAGTCGGTATGGGTATGGGAGGTCGCTGGAGATGATGAATATGAATGTGAAGCTGTACTCAACGTACACAATCAAGATGTTAAAAAAGTATGTCAAGAATTTGTATTTGCATTAGATTTAGAGGGCATTACACATAATGTGTTGTTTTTTTTTTGTAGGTAGCCTGGCATCCTTCATTAGATATCTTGGCCTCTGCATCATATGATAACACAGTCAAAATATATAAAGAAGATCCAGCTGACAATGATTGGAGCTGCTTTGCTACATTGCAGTCACATGAATCAACCGTGTGGAGTCTAGCTTTTGACAAGACAGGAGAAAGACTTGCTACTTGTAGTGATGACAAAACTGTAAAAATATGGAAAGAGTATAAACCTAACAACCAAGAAGGTGTTATAGTTGCTGACAAAGAATCTGTTTGGAAATGTATTTGCACATTATCAGGGTTTCACACAAGATGCGTATATGACATATCATGGTGTCATAATACTGGTCTTCTAGCTACAGCATGTGGTGATGACATTATAAGGATCTTCAAAGAATCTGATGATTCTGATCCCAATGCACCAACATTTGAGCTAGTTTGCACCAAACTGGATGCTCATTCCCAGGATGTTAATTGTGTGACTTGGAATCCTACAGGCAACCAAGAAATACTATCTTGTAGTGATGATGGTGAAATAAGAATTTGGAGCTTTTCTTCTGACTAGTTTGTTATACATATGTTTAGTTATGAATGGATCAAGCAATTGTATCAAAATATTATGTTATTGGGGTTTAATAATAATGTTTAATAAACAAAATCGTTCCTAAAATTCCTCTTTTTAACACTCTTTTATTAGCTTGGTATGTATGTACCACACTCCAAAATGTTGAATTAAATTAAAACTCCGCACACTTATCCACACTTACACTTAACAGCATTAGTCCGCCCAAGAACCAATGACATTACAATAATTTGATAAGTTTGGCCGATTACACAGGTCAACAAAATTTGACAAATTGTCTTTTCCAGAAACCAGAGCATACTTTGCTGAAGATTTTTGGTGTGCTGAATCCAAAATCAGGTTATCAAAAATTCAAATTTTATTATGCCTAAAAAAGTACAAAGTGTATCTTAAAGTTCAAGTTTTTAGCTTTCAAATGATGCCCTTTTAGGTTAAAATATCTCAAAAACTTGAGAGACTAATTCTGCAATAGGGAATATGCATGTATTTTTTTTATTTTTTTAAACGATTCTACTAGTTATTACATTACCAAAAATAACACATCTGAAATATAAACCGTTAAGCAAAAAAAAAATATTAATATCACTATCATTTTGGGGCAATTTGAACACGTCCATATTGGCGCGCTTTTTTTGTGACGTCAGATTACACTTTCAGACGAATTCGATGTCAACAACGGAGTGAAGTTCACAAAGTTTGTAAAAGTTAAAAAAGTGAGTGATATAAATTAACTTATTACCATGGAAAAGCCAATAAAAACTTATTATAAATATTCTGCCGTTCCTTTGTGCCAAAATTATATCAAAACTGCACCTGACAAAGTATATTCAGTCATTGTGTTGAGTCTTTCTACACGGGAATTTAATAATTTAACACTGAAAACGTATTAGTTATTACCTTAAAATGAAACAAATAATCACCAGAAACCAAATATTACAAATACACACAACTTGTTGACACTCTTGACAGTGTAGGTTGACGTCACGTTTCATTCAACCAATAGCGTTGCGTTTTAGAAATTTGCGAGGGTCTTAAAAAAGCCAATTTTTGATGATTAAATTTCACTATTAAATTACAATGAATTTCAAAAATAATTGTTAGCAATAAAAATTACAAATAAAAATATTTTGTCCATTTTGGTGTCACGTGCATATTCCCTATTGGATTTGGATTCAGCGCACCATAATCCTAAAAAGTATACTCTGGTTTCTGGGTAACAAAATTGTTGGCTTGTGTTATCCTAATCAGCATCTTCTGGATTAACAGCTTTTTCCGTACCTAAAAATATGGCAGAGTCTTGCGTGTGCTCAAGCATATGTGACTCACTTAGTTCTTACTTTTTAAGTCTTGATGGGAAAATAATCATCAATTATGAACTAGGTATGAATAATGAATGAATAATCATCAGTAATGAAATGAGTTTAAAGAAACTAAAAAGCACTTGTAACTAAAATATAAAATAATTAACCAATATCCGTGTGGTGACGGATTAAGAATACAGAGTGTAACCCCCCCTATTCATCCCATGGGTGTCGTAAGAGCCGACTAAAGGAAAAAACTACGCAGAACAACAGCACTGCAGAGAGAAGGAAAACTTGACACAAACCCTTTTTTTTTTTTTTTTTTTTAACGTGTGGAAATCCCCTCGGACCGTCACCCCTCCGGGGTTTGCGGCGGGGTGGTGTGTCGGACTCGGACCGACTAAAACCACACGGTGTGCCACTCTGCGCCTGTAACAGGAGGGATCCGGGAACAGCTGTTGTTAAGACATCCGGACCCCTCCTAGCGCCAGCCCGCTCCTGGTGCGGGCTCCGTCTCAATATTTTTGTTTTCCTCTCTTTAGGCGACGTCCGGCACACGCGGACGCCGCCCCCTCGCGGCTGGCCAAACTAATGCGGGTGGAGGGGAAACCCACCCCGTCCACCCGCGGCCACACTCAGGGCGGCATGAGGCTGTGATAGGCGGGCCTCCGCCGCCCGGTTCGCCGGCGGCGGATCGGGTCCGAGTGGAGGTCGTCCTCCCGGGCCCTCTCCGCCGCCTCCTTCCGCGAGATTACTACCTCGCAGAAGGTTGCGACCGCGGTAAAACAACTGTTGCTACCGGCCATGGAGCGTACTACGGCCGGTAGCGAGAGATCCACTCCGATGACTGCAGTGAGGGCCCGGCGCTGCGCCGCCCATGCGGGGCAGACCGCCAGCGTGTGCTGGGCCGAGTCCTCACTGCAGTCGCAGTGGTGGCAGGCGGGACTCAGTTCCCTCCTAGCGACCGAGTGCAGGTACTTTCCGAAGCAACCGTGCCCGGAAAGCACCTGCGTCAGCCGGAAGGAAAGGGTCCCGTGCTGCCGCCCTGCCCACTCGGCGATGACCGGCTGGAGAGCCTCCACGGCGGCGAAGCCAGCGCGTGGAGTCTCCAGCCGGAACGACCAACGAGCCATCGTGGCTCGGCGAGCGGCTTCGCGCCACTCGCGCACATCCTCGGGTGGAGGGCGAAATCCGCTCTCCGCCTGGGAGTCAGCCACTCGCCGATAAACTTCGGCGAGCACTTCCGCCTCCAAATCCCACGGGGGAGTTCCGGCCAACGCGCATCCCACCTCCGTCGAAACGGTGCGGTAACCGCGTATGGCTCTGACCGCCATTACCCTCTGAGGGCGCCAGAGGCGTACCCTATTCTGGGCGATCAGAGCCACCGCCCACACCGGTGCACCGTACAGTGCCATTGACCGGACAACCCCCGTGTACAGCCGTCTTGTTGCGACGCTGGGTCCACCCATATTGGGCAAAAGTCGCCCTAGGGCAGACGCAGCGCCGACCAGCTTTGGAGCAAGCTGTCGGAAGTGCTCGTCGAAGAGCCACCTCCCGTCGAGGATCAGGCCCAGATATTTCATCTGGGCCCGAACCGGTACGAGGACCGAGTTGACCACGATTGAGCCGCCAGGGGGTGGACCACGACGGGGCCCATGAAATAACAGGGCCTCCGTCTTATCTAGGGCCACCCGTAAGCCCAGCGCCTCAATGCGCCCGACCACCAGGGAGACTCCCCCTGTGGCCAGGCGCGCCGCCTCTTGGAAGTTTGCCCCCCGGGCTGTCACCAGGGTATCGTCTGCGTAACAGATTACACCCAGCCCGGGGGGGAAATCGGCGCGAAGGGCAAACTCAAACTCAAACTCAAACTTTCTTTATTTCATAAAATTTTCAAAATTGTTTGAAATCGTCTTCCATGTAGACTCTAAAGTCATAGATCAACACACACAAAAGCAACAATCTCTGTTTTGTCAAATAGTAACCAAATAAATTTAACAAAATCAAACCCATACAAAATCTATGATATGCCTGTGCCGATCTACAACCGCCCGTTTCCAAGGGGTTGAGCCTTATGAGAAGAAAGGGCAAACAAACTCATGGCCACTCTTTTGCAATTCACAAGTAGATACAATGGCACTATTAAATATATCACAACATTGTTTTGATGTATGCTAGTATGTCCGTTATTAAGGACTTAAAGGTGAAAAAACAACGAAGAGAAAACAAGATTAAGAAGAACAATCGAGAACGAATACAAGAGAAAATGAAGTGAAACATAAAAAATAAAAAAAATAATAAAAAACATACTAGCCACACCACATTTTTACTTAAGAAAGAAATAGCCTGCGCTAATTAATCCCAAGCATTCTTGTCCTCCATGTAATCCACAATCGAGTAGTAGGCCCTCTGGCACAAGCCACGTTTTATTGCGGATTTAAATTTGTTAATACTCAACTCCTGAATATTATTTGGGATTTTATTATAAAATCGGACACATTGACCTCGAAAAGACTTGTTTATCTTTTGGAGCCTAGAGGCGGGTACAACAAATTTATTTTTATTTCTGGTATTTATGGCATGTACATCACTTTTTTTCAAAAAGCTATCTTTATTTTTGTGAACATATATTACATTTTCATAAATATATTGACTTGCCACTGTCATTATATTTATTTCTTTAAATTTCTGCCTCAATGAACAACGATTGCCTAAATTATAAAGTGCTCGAATAGCTCTCTTTTGCAGCACAAAAATAGTTTGAATGTCGGCAGCATTCCCCCACAGCAGAATACCGTACGACATTATGCTATGAAAGTAACTGAAGTAAACAAGTCGTGCTGTATCAACATCAGTCAACTCTCGGATTTTCCTTACTGCGTATGCTGCTGAGCTGAGTCTACTCGACAATTTATCAATATGTGGGCCCCACTGTAGCTTAGCATCTAGTGTTATACCTAAAAATGTCGTAGTGTCCACAAGGTCCAGCCCGACATCCTTAATTATCACAGTAGTTTTCACTGGCTTGACGTTTGGCATAGTGAAACGTATACACTTAGTTTTTTGTTCATTTAATAGTAAATTGTTGACATCAAACCAATGAACCACTTTCGAAATGGCGCTGTTTACAAATGTGAAATCAGAAAGTGTCCGTTTTAGTCTAAATAATAGTGATGTATCATCTGCAAACAACACAATCTCGAGATTGTCCTTGACAAAGTGAGGTAAGTCGTTAATATATACTAAAAACAAAAAAGGGCCGAGAATAGAACCCTGTGGAACGCCCATTTCTATCACAGAGCCTGGAGACCGCTCACCATTAATATCAACTTTTTGAATCCTATTACATAGATATGAGGCAAGTAGTTCCAGGGCTTTATTTTTGATACCATAGTGCTGTAATTTCCTGATCAGCGTTTCATGAACAACACAATCAAAAGCCTTAGATAAATCGCAAAAGATACCTAGAGAATCGTGGGCATCCTCCCAGGCATCAAATATATGTTTTACTAGCTCAACACTAGCATCAGTTGTGGAGCGACCCCTTGTAAAACCAAATTGTCTATTGTGCAATAAATTATTATTATTAAAAAAACTGTGCAATTGATCATACCTAATTTTTTCAAAAATTTTACTAAATACTGGTAGTACTGAGATAGGTCTAAAGTTAGTTGGGTCAGATGT